GGTTTAGGGTTTAGGGGCTGGGGATGGGCATTTGGGTCAACCGAAGCAGAAAACCATGGGCTTGCATGCGAGCTTGTGTGTCTGTGTGTTTGTGTTTGTAAGTATTGAAATTCAAAGCCTCGAGCATGTACAACGTGAATGTCTTGTGTGAGCCCGCTTGTGGTGTAATATAGGGAACTTAATAATTACCTATACTATTTGGGGGCTCCTTATTGGAATAATTCTAGTATAATATACCCCAAAACCCTATTCTACTTATCAAGGCCCCTATATTAGGTAAGGGAGCTGGTATTTGGGGCCCGCAGGGTTTCGTCGGTAAAACGTTGGCCCAGCATCTGCGAAATGGCCTGAACAGGAATCCAACTCTCAGTGCGAAACTCCCCTCCGGGTTTAGGGCTTAGGGTTTAGGGGTTTAGGGTTTAGGGTTTAGGGGTTAGGGTTTTATTAATTTAGGGTTTAGGGTTTAGCTGCTAAGGGCAAGACCCTAGAGTCCTGAAAGCTCGAAAGGCTTCAACGCCGTAGCTGGCAATACGCCGACCTCATTCTACCTACCCAGACCTTCCAAAAGCCCTTAATTAAAGGCATGCACCTTCAATCATAGGAGGATCCCTTTCATATTTGCCGAGGCCTTCCATGAATGGCGGCGGCTGCGATGTACGGCCTGGCGCAAGGCACGTTGAACCGCCTCTCCCGGTTTAGGCTTTTAGGTTTCAGGGATTAGGGCTTCTTAGATTTTTGATTTACTGATGAGAATAATGTCTGCTTTGGAAGGATCGTCAAAATGGGATCAGATATGTGGCTACAAAACACCAACTCCTCAGATGCAGGGACTGTAGCAAAAAGACACTTTTGCCAGTTTTCCAGACCCTTAAACCCCTGAATCGAAGCAGCCCTCAACCCTGATGGGAGGCTCCTGGACTAGACGGAAGAAGGACGCAGTTGTTTCTGAAGTCCAAAGCCCTAAACCTAAGTCCTAAACCCCGAACCCTAAACCCCAAACTCCAAACCCTCAGCCCTAAACCCTAGCCCATAAACCCCACACCCGAATCCCTAAACCCAAATCCCTGGACTTTGGGAGGCCAACGGACTTCCTGCAAAGCATTACGGCCCAGCTCTGAGCCTTCCTCTGGAAGGGTTTAATTAATGTAGGGGCCTAGGGTTTAGGGTTTAGGATTTAGGGTTTAGGGTTTAGGGTTTAGGCCTGAATAATTACGAAGAAGTGAATGCCTGAATCCAGACCACACGCCAGGTGCAGGGTCCATACCCCTCTATAAGGCTACTAACATAGGGGCCTAAACAATTACCAATACTATTTTGGGGTTTCCTTATTATAATTATAGTACAATTGGCCCCAAAACCCTATTCTAATTATTAAGGTCCCTATATTGGGCTTTAGGGTTTAGGGTTTGGGACTGGGGTTTTGTCGGTGTGCAGTTAGGGATGAGGGTTTAAGGGTTTGGGGTTTGGGTTTTAGGGCTTAGATTTAGGGTTTTTAGAGTTTTGTGTGTTGGGGTTTTGCGAATCTAGAAGACAAAAGTTTGAAAATGATGATCGTGATGCCGGAGGTGCTTACAGGAATCCTAGCAAGTCCGATTACCAGAAAGTCGGTCTTTGCCCTGTAGGGTATAGCGACCTAGGGTAGCAATGCCCCTTGATTCATACTGTAGCCAGTATTTCAATAATTAGTATGGTATATCAAGCCCCGAGCCCTGTTCTAACGATTAAGGCCCCGCTGCTACCTAGCGGTTTAGGGTCGGGTGCAGAGCATCATCAATTAGGGAAACCCAGAGCCTTCTGAGCTGAGCTTATCTGCTGCTTGTATATAAGTACTTGTATAAACTAGGGTCCCTTTGGGAGTCCTTTTCCATAAGGATGCCGTACTATTTTGGGGACCTAAAAAGGGGACCCTAATTTAGAGAACTACCCATAGAGTACAAAGAGGGCTTTGGGTTTTTGGTCAAGACGGGCCTTAAACCCTGAGCCCTAAGCCACACGTCGGTCTGCTTCTTGACGGCTCGGCGGCTAAAGGTGCACACCTCGTTACAGCCTAGTGTATGTAATACGCTACAATACCCAGACCTTCGAAAACCCTTGTTTTTATCATCCTGGAATCTATCCAGGGCCTGTACTTAAACCCTAAACCCTAAACCCTAAACCCTTAGAGTTTACAAGACTGGCATCCTGGCACCCCTAAGATCTTAACCCTAGTAGCGGCTCTGCAGTTGTAACCCGTCTCGTCAGCATGATGGTAATCCCTCAGAGCATCCCGTATAATGTAGGAGCTTTAATAATTAGAATAGGGTTTTGGGGCCCATTATACTATAACTACAATAAGGAAACCCCCAAATAGTATTGGCAATAATTTAGACCCCTATGTTCGTAGCCCTTGTAGAGGGGTATGGACCCTGCGCCTGGCGTGGTGGTCTGGATTCAGGCCTCCAGTGCTTCAGACGCTTCTATCGCCCCGTAGGCCTCATTCTAGGGCTTGGGGTGATTTAGGGTCTGAAGTCTAGGGTTTGGGGTTTAGGGTTTACCCTAAACCCTAAACCCTAAACCCTAAAACCCTCAACCGTCTAGGGGTTTAGGGTTTTGGGTTTAGGGTTTCGGGTTTAGGGCATCCTTTTGAGGTCATTCGGTGTGCTTCCGCGCCTGGCAGCAGCGAACTCGGCGGCTGCGGGATTTACGGATGTGGCTGCCCAAAGAGGCCCCTCCTCGGCCGTCGCTGTAGCGGCGTTGTGTCGGTGTTTTGCTTCTAATTTTCGGGTGAATCAGGAAGGCCACAGGCAAGCTGGGATATCAGATTTGTTGCTGGCTCAGTCCTGGGTGTTATAGGGGCCCCAATAATTTGAATAGGCTCTTGGGGTGAATCCCAGTATTCTGCATTATACGCAAGGACTGCAAGGCTTCAGGGTTTGGGGCTATGAATGGCTTTGGGATTTGGGATTAGGGAAAACGGTCTAGGGTTTGGGACGGACGATTTACACGGCCTCGGAGTTTTGTTTCCGAGCTTTTGGCATGTGCGCGGTTTGGAATTTATGGCTCGGGGTCTCGGCATGGATGAGATTTGTAGTACTACAGGTATGGATGTAGATAGACATGCCCCAAAACCTTGTTCTTCTTATTCATGCCCCGTATAGTTACTCCTATCAGTCCTTCTTATAAGACCCTTCTAAAACCCCAGGTAGAAGACACTATCAACGCTTTTATCGCATCACCTATAGTCTCCATTGTAGTTCCGTTTTGGGGTTACCTTATAAAACCCTTAATATAGAATTGGTTAAACCAAAAAAAGGAACTACAATGGAGACTATAGGCGGTTTCCGAAAATAGGGGACCCTAATATAGTACCCTAAATAATAGGATGCTTAATATAAGGACCCACAAAATAAGGTACCCCTAATTTTCTGAAACTCCCACATTCGAAAAGCCGATGAAAACAGGTCCGGGGACCTGCTGAGCGGCATCACGGTCGGATACCCTGATGGGCCACTTATAGGCTATCGGTTTAGGGTTTAGGGTTTAGGGTTTAGGGTTTTAGGTACTGCCCCCACTCAGTAACAGTTCGATAAGATCTATATTATAGCTATAGTAGGCCCTTCATAGTAGCCCTATGATCGACTGTTACTGTATGGGGGCAGTACCAACTTATAGGCTTTGGGGTCTTAGAGCTGAGTGGTTTTAGGGTTCATAGGGCTTGAGGTCATATAGGGGCCTCAATAATTACCCATATTATTTTGGGGGGTTCCTTCGTATAATTATACTACAAAGGAGTCCCCAAACCCTATTCGAATCATTCAGGCCCCTATGTTACATTGCTTTAGGGCTTGCAGGGTTCAGGATTCACTCTGGGACTTTTCTGCTTAGGAAGCTTTCTGAGCCATTCTGGGTTTGCTTCTGAGGAATTTTACGGGATGCGGCGGCAGCACGTGAACGCGTCAAATTCACAAAGGAGAGCTTTAACCGTCGGGATTGGGAGACATTTGGAGACCATTCCAAGGACAACGGAGGAGCCGAACAGGGTGTCTTTGCTAGGACGTTAGTGACCTCCAGCTGTTGGAGGGCCAAACTGACCACAGGATTGGCGCGAGCGAGGTTTATCAAGTTTGGGAAGTGCCACAACTTTGGAATTTACTGTGAAATAAGTCTTCCGGCGGACATGGCCGCAGCCACCTGGACTGTGGAAAGAAAGCGATGCCCGTGGAAAATGTGGAAGAGCTTGTATGAACACGGCGTAGCAGACCAAACAGTGTGTAGTCAACACTTTTCCATGCAGCAAACTATACTGCCGTTATGTAGGCGGCAGCATAAATCGCTACCTTTACAGTATACTCTCCGAAAGCCCCAAGATTCGAGAAGCCTGTTTAAGAAAATTTTTGCAAACTTCCTATAGTCTCCACTTTAGTTCCTTTTTTTGGTTTAACCAATTCTATATTAAGGATTTTATAAGGTAACCCCAAAAAGGAACTACAATGGAGACTACAGGTAATATAGACCATGAGGCCACGGCCTGGCTCTCTGCGCCTGGCGCCGGCGCGTCCGGCACCAGCGCAACGTTCGGGGCGTGCTTCTGAAGGAGGTCTGGGCCGCTGTCAAGTACCCCAGAGTTTACGTATAGGGTTTGTGACTTTAGGGTTTGGTGTCTAAGGTTTGGGGCTGTGGAAGGGGATCTAGCAAGCACATACACATAGAGTATTGAAGCCTGTCCCTTTGTGACAAGTTTGTGTCTATGTGCTTTTGGAGGTTTCTGCAGGCTCCTAAGTTGAGATAACATGTATGCTGGGAGGGGCTTGGCAACGGTTCTGAAAGTGTGTAGATTGACTTCACAAGGTTATGGAGTGGGGTTGGGTGGCAGGCTTTCTGTGCGTTTCAGCTGCTACGATGCCGACGGGTTTACCCTATACCCTAAACTCTAAATCCTAAACCCCATAGACCCTAAACCCCATACACTCGACTCTAAATCCTAAACCCCATAGACCCTAAACCCTATACCCGAAACTCTAAATCCTAAACCCCATAGACCCTAAACCCTATACCCGAAACTCTAAATCCTAAACCCCCCTAGGCCCCAAGCCATTAAGCCCTGTGTCTGTTTGCTTCGTGCAAGGAGTCGGCTTTGGGGTTTAGGGTTTAGGGTTTAGGCTTTATCTGAACATGACCTCCTGCGAGCCTCCCTTCCTGTATATGGGTAGTTGTCTAAGTTAGGATCCCTTTTTAGTTCCCCAATATATAGTCCGGCGCCCTTATAAACTGGACCCTAAAAGGGACCCTAATTTAGAGAACTACCCATATGCATGTTGATTATATGCGTTTCTTGTGAGAACGGTTGGCCCGTCATCGTTTATATCACGTCGGTTATATAACTTTCGTGCGGTGTGTCTCCATGTTGCGATCCATTTGTCTGCGGCCTGTCGTTGCTATACAAGCCAGAAAGTTGGAACCTGGGTTTAGGAGGATTAGTGCCAGGATTCCTTATACTTTACCTTAAGGGCATGAGGAGAATCACGTTCCAACTTTCTGGCTTCTGCTGCCCTAAACCCTAAACCCTAAACCCTAAACCGTGTAAACCCGGAGCAATAGGGTCAGAGTCGCTTGGATGTCAGGGCTGAGGTTTGGGATCTGGTAGGGTTCAACGGAGTTGAAGGCTTTGAGCCCTTCTACATGATCTTGTATGGTATTATATTAAGCTACATCATATGTTGTGTTATATTATTATTATCATTATTATTATTTCATATTAGGCTATAGTACGTGGTGTTATATTAGCTGATCATGTCTTCGTTTCTAGGCCTGGCGTCAGGGCGGCGGCCCTTCAGGCTGGGATTTGGTGCTTTGGTCTTCGCGAGCTGCTGCCTCTCAAGGTGGACTATAGTATAGTAGAGTAGAGTATCGTAGAGTAGTGGTATAGTTTCCTGACAGACCAGTGTGGTGAGCTTTCCGACATGTTGACGGTGTGGTGGACTTCCGGAGAAATGTTGGCAGAGTTCCCCGTGGATGGGCTGGCAGATCTAAAGTCCTTGAAGCAGGATTTGCGGAGGAAGTGTGGGGTGCCGCGTTTCAGACAGCGGCTCATGAGTGCTGAGACCGTTTTGGATGATGACACCCGGCTTGTATCGCCCATGGATGTGCAGCTGATCTTGCTTCCCTTCATCAGTGCTTCGGGAGAGCAGCGCGATGAGCTCATCGATCTCATCTTCGAAGACGCTGTGGCCCAGGTAGAGGAGATCCTACAGCGGCCCCAAGATCCCAATCTGACCGCCAGCGAAGAAGGCGAGAACCCCTTGATGTTGCCCATTGTCTTTGCTGCCAGTCTAGGCCATACTGACATTGTTCGGCTACTGGCTGAGGCCGGGGCGGACATAAATGAGCTTGGAGGCCATGGACATCCTGATCACTATCAGGAATCCGCCACGGCTCTCATAAAGGCCTGTGAGCACGGTCACTTGGAAACTTCCCGCGTTCTCTTGGAGCTTGGGGCCTGTGTGGATGAATACGAAGGGGCCGAGTGTGCGACAGCCCTCATCCGAGCAGCTGAGCAAGAGCATGTGAGCATCGTACGTCTTCTCCTTGCGGCTCGAGCACAGGTCGATCAGCAACAGCGACGTGGCAGGACGGCTCTTGTATGCGCATGCTTCCGCAACCATTTGGAAACTGCCCGACTGCTGGTGGAGGCCGCAGCTGACGTGAATCTTCCCGACAACCTCGGCATGACTGCATTGAGTTGGACATCTGGCGCAGGCCATGTGAAAGTTGTGCAACTGCTGCTTCAAGCCAGGGCTGCCCCCGAACTGGAAAGTGATGCTGGCCTTACAGCTGCTATGTGCGCATCCATGCGGGGCCACTCGGATATCGCAGGGTTGCTTCTGGAGGTTTGCGATGCGCCCGATTGTGCTCCGATGATGACAGCCGCCATTGCTGCCGCATCTATCATGGGCCAAACTCAGACCTTACAGTTCTTACTGGATGCAGGAGCAAGGAGGGACGTGCCAGACGACGGAAGATGTGTTGCTGTCATCTGCGCTGCAGCGACTGGCCATGTGGAAACAGTCCGGATGCTCTTGCAGGTCGGAGTGGGTGCAACCCACCAGTACACTGATGACACCTTAGCGCTTTTGAGTGCGGCCGATCAAGGCAACATAGCGTTGGCGCGGGCCTTGCTGGAAAATGGCCTGTCGATGCACGCAGGCCATGCTGGGCTTCAAGGCCTTGTCTCCGCGGCGATCAATGGGCATGAAGAAATGGTGGCGCTGCTTTTGCAGGCTCAAGCTGGCACAGATGTTGTCACTGACGGTGGCCGAGCGGCCATCGCGTGCATTTGCGCGGCAAGCCAAGATCATCGAGAGCTTGGGGCATGGCTGATTGAGACGCACAGCATCGTGCGTGGAGAGATGGTGGGCAACGAGTGGCCGAAACTGTGCCGCTTCTTGAATCCTGCAAGCCTTGTGTGTTGATCTGTGCAAGGCGTTGTGTGCTGCCATTCCGCCTCAGCATCGATGGACCTGTTTTCACATGCCAAAAGCTCCAACTGCACAGCATCTAGAAACCCGGCCTGAACCATCCAGCCCCAAAGACCTAAGCGGCCTTTGTTGCAACCAGTAATTAGACAAAACCGCGAAGCCCCGAACCCCCGAGTACCCTAACACCTAAAACCTAATCCGTTACCCTAAGCCCCAAGCTCCATCGCCTAGACCATGGAGGTCGCCACCTCTGAGGACGGCCTGCGGCGGTTGGTGCTTGCGGCCGGCGCCCGTGGAGGTTGAAACTTCTTTAGAGCCCAGGGTTTATTTTACCTTCACCAGGGTTTATAGGGTTTATATGGGGTTTAGGGTTTAGGGTTGAGGGGTTTAGGCTTTAGGCTTATGAAACCTAAACCCTAAACCCTATTTATAAAGCCCTTAACTCTAAACATCTCTAAACCCCTAAGTTCCCTAACAACCAAGCTGTTAAGGGGAAAACGCCAAATCATAAGACCCCGGGACAATGGGCTAGGTCGATGCACCCTTATGTGAGAGTCTAGAGAGATCTGGAGTTGAGGATGTAGGGGCTAGGCCTTTTTCATTTAGGGTTTAGGGTTTAGGGTTTAGGGCTTAAGAGTTGGGGAGTCAGAACTTTGGGATTAAGTGTAGGATGGTCGCACCCAGTGGATGCGAGTGACGGGCAATCGGATCAGAACTCTATCCTAAACCCAGAAATGTGCCCTTGCTTGGGTGTTTTCAGAATAAGGGTTACAGAGTTAGTGGGCTTGTTGAATTTGGGCCCCCCTTATTTCTAGCCCTTATGGTGGCGTGAACTAATGCCTCTGAGGCAAAGCCGGATAGCAGTATTTTACTTACAAACAACCAGATATCTTCATCAACGAATATTCCTGCAAGACTATCTAGTGCTTCATGCCGACTTGAGACCATTTTTATTGCATTCTTTTGTTAAGACCTTGTCACTGCTATTTTGGCCCAAGTCCCCTCAAACCTCTCACGCTATCCCTCGCGCTGAGGCTCCAGTTGCCCACATAAAGTATGTTACCTTGCCCCTGAATTTTAAGGCCCAAGTAGAATTCACCTATACTCACCATTGTAGTTCCTTTTTCAAGCTTGTTTGGTTTGAGCATTTCCTATCCAGGATCCTGAAAGCAAATCCCAAAAAGGAACTACCAAGGTTAGGGTTTAGGGTTCAGGGAGACAATAGGTAGATAGGTGTGCGGATGCCCCGCCAAAAGCAACCGATCTCAGGCCTGGTCCGTGCGGCTAAGGCACCGGCAGGGTCGGCGACGGGGTCGGGAAGCCCAGTTAATTCTCGGGCTTGTGTCACACCGCAGAACAGAGTTGTGTTCGACAAAAGTTATCATATCCCCACAAGTTTACATTGTAGGTTTTCATTTTTTGGGCTATTTGGTAGCCCAAGAAATCAAATTGAACACCTATGATTTGAGGAGCAAGTTGTAGCCTGTCAGGCGGTCGTCTGGGTTTACGGGTTACTTGGGTGGTGGATAGTCGAACTTTGGGTAGGAAGTTGTTTCGATGTTTTGACATTTTTGACATGCGTTCAGATGACATCCCCCGGAGTAGCACAGTAGATCCTATCAATGGTCTTACGCCCCTCAACCATTGAACCCTGAGCCAAAAACCGCAAGCCACCCCAGCACCCGCAAAAGTCGGGGAGTGGCGTTTCGTTTAAGAGATAGCTCGATGAAGCGAGCACGAAAGAGAGACACACAGAGAGAGAGAGAGCCGCTCCACACTAGCTCGGAAGCTTCAATAGGGGCTTCATAGGGTATTATGCAAAGGGTTGCTGTAAGGAATGGGGGCTAGGGCTTAGGGGCTGCATTCAGAGCCTAAGCTGAACTTTCGGATTCTAGGTTTAGTGCTTTGTGAACTGCGACGTTTCATGAAAGTGTTTGTTGGCTTCTTCAGATTCAACGGATGTTGTAGGTTATGCGGTTTTCGATGAGTGTATATGGGGCTCCGAGCGAATGTTACGGCAATCAATGCATATAATGAGTATAGTGTATACAAAACATTTGCATAGCATGTACAGACACACACAGGCGCACGCATGCTATATATACATATATATATAT